TCTTATTCTTGTGGTGAGGGCACATGGTTTCACAAGGGATAGGTAACGTTATTAGACTCCTCACTATGATGTTGGGTGTTCAAGCCATGAGTGTATTGTGATATTGAGTTGGTTTTTGAGGCTAGGATTGTTAGGAGCATGTTGTCTTTATTGTGAATATTCGTGAAGTATGACATAAGAAAAGGAAAGTGTATGTGATTGCATATGGTAGAGTTTAGTTGTTGCTATAAACCATGGTCACTGGTGTGGTGTGCCTCAATTGGGTAAAAACAAGGTGCTCAAGGTTGTGTCTATAAGCGTAGTTTGATTTTTCGATTACGAGCAATATTTAAGTATGGGGTATTGATGTGTGGCTATAATTCCACAGTTTTGTACATTATTTGCCTTGCAGTTTATATGCTTTAAGTATAAATTACACTTTATTTGCGCGTAATGGAGTCTATTTTATGTGTAGGTGAATTGGATATGAAAGTAGAGCAAAAAGGATACTTAGACGCTGAATGCGTGCTCGAGAACTGTGAAAAGGAGCAAGCTGGCGACGCCAGGCCGTAAGCAGGCTTTATACCTAGCGACGCCAGGCAAAGGCCAGCTTAACCAGGCGTTAGCCCGGCGAGGCCAGGCAAAGGCCAGGTCCACCAGGCGTTATGCCTGGCGACGCCAGGCTTAGGGCGAGATCCATTACGAGTTTTGAAGATTTATTTCGTCTCCTGGTTTGACTAGCTAGGACTTGGCCTACACGTTTAGGTTTTTTCCTACACATATAAATAGACCTAAAAATGCCACTTTTGACACCCGTTAGACCTAAGGAGGCTAGAGAGACCGGAGATTCGACCTAAGGAGGCAAAAATACATTAGGAGCAAGGCGGAGAATTCTTCTACGAGTTTTTCACTCTCTTCTTCCTATTTTTCATTATTGGTTATGAATTCTATTATTGTAGTTATGCATACTATTATGAATAGCTAATTTGTTATCTAGGGTTTTGATGGAACCTATTGGAGGACGATTCTCATGTTACGTTAATATAGATTTGCTGTAGCTTGTTTTTCTATTTGTTCAACTACATTTATATTGTGGTTGGTTGAAGAGCTCTCAATCGACTGCGCATATTTAGTGTGTATTACTCGGGAGAGAGTACATATTTAGGTAGTTGTTGAACAACATCACTCCTAACGTATATGAGGGATTAATACGGAGGGTTTAAAGGTGGGATTAGGGATAACGAAACCTTGGTGCGTTCCGAGTGAGCCTTACTTAATGCCAGCTAGCGTAATTCGGGAGAATATGTCTAGTAAATTGTGGTACTTACTCGAGAGAGAATTACAACACTCAGAGCGCTCATGATCGGTAGAGAAAACTTAGGCAAATTTATAGAAGACGTAGCGGAAAGGATTCCAACAAAAGGGAAATCATAACTCTAGACCTCCTTAATCTTGTCTCCAATCTTTATCCTTGTTAATTGATAGTTTTACTACTTTCTAGTATTTGTTAGTTAATTAGATAAAATAAACATTTTAATCTTTGTACTTAGGAAATTATTTGGACTTGTGTTTCTTAGCGAAATTGAACAACTGTAGGTAAACCATAGTTCTTTATGGGGTTTGACTCCGGACTTGTAAACCGGATTATATTTGCAACGACCACTTAGTCCTTTTTATAAGACATAGTTGAGCGTGATTAATTATGCACATACTAATTCGTATTAACACAAAAATTACAATATTTATATAGGAATTTTTCTTGTTAATTTTTTTTGGGTCCTGTTTGATCTGTCGTATTAATAATCAGCATGCAGTGTACAATTTCAAAATTATTTTGAACATCCATCATAAGTGGATTGGTAAGCCGTGACATATTTGTTTGTGCAACTTGTACCAAACAAAACGGGAGAATTCCCTACTCTGCTAAAGAATGTCAGCTATCGGGGAACACCTTTCAGTAAGGGGTGTTAATGGGTAGTGCTTCTCAATTTTTTAAATGTATAAATGTAAATAATATATTTTTAAACTATGTAAAATTAGGCAATTTTGTTACAAAATAATACAAAGTATAATGCAAATCGATTTGCAAGCGTATGTCAAACACTTCTCGCGCGCTAATTTTGTGTACACCACTCAATATAAGAGCACTTAATTAGATGAAATTGTGAAGATCTATTTGAGCCGCTAGATGATTTAAAGTTTATGGATTGATGATTTTTAGTCTTTTTAAATTTTGAATCTAAATTAATAACTTGAACATATACAAATATTAAACAAAAATTATTGGGTTCGGCCAACTAATATTATATGTTGTAGCTCCACCATGGGAATTTTTTCAGCGATACCTGATGTTTGATCTCTAGTGGGCCGGAGTTATGTGCGTACATCCCTTCTAAATTCACTACTCTTACCTGTCTTTTTTCTATTTCACTTTATTTCTATCTTGAATCACTTTATTGGTTGTTTCGTTCTTAAATTGCCAATCTCTCTCTTGTTACCGAGCTAGAAGCTAATCGAAGCATTACTCTCAACCATTGCATTGCCGAGCGGAGAAAATGCTCAAATTTGATAAAACATGAAAGTATATTTGTTTAAATTATTTAAGAATCAAAAAAGTGATCAAACCCTAGTGTCTTACCCGACATTACTTATATAAATAGTCACCATCATTTTTTATTGAATCCGTAAAATTCTAGGTCGGTCCCTGAATACATCAGAATGTAATTAGCAACCTAAATCCACCACAAAAGTATAAAACACAAGTGCCTCACGTGATTAATATATCCGACAAACAATCATTTTGCTTTAATTTAAACATGCAAAAAAGAGAGAATATTTATATATCACAGGTGTTAGTGTCTCCATTCTCCATTTATGGATGTCTCACAAAGTACATGCATATTCCATGCAATTTTATCATTAAGGACGTGTTCATTAGAAAAAAGTCCTCTGAGGAGGAAAAAAGACACTTATTAGGAGCAGTTTGGTACGCAGACAAAGCTATAGATGGGCAGAAATGTAATACAGAGGTTAACAATTAAGTAGTGATTATATAATATGCTTCTCCGGTAGATGTTTGATATTGGGTTAAAAACTAGGATATGTTGTCTTTAATATAAATAAAATACTATATATAGGTTGTAGGCTGACTCCTAGGTGTGGCATTAAGCATTCTTTTGAATTCCCTCAGTGAAACTTTTTGCCTCCGCGTGGAAAAGGTTCTCAAATTTAGGGGTGTGCATTCGATTTATCGATTCGATTTTGATCCTTATCGATAATTGCTTATCGATTATCGATTTGTACATATGCTTATCGTTATCGTTTCAATAAGGTTTCGATTTTTTCGATTTCGATTTATCGATTTTGGGGGCTTATCGATTCGGTTATCGATTACACCAATAAGAAAATTTGCGGGATTTAACGGAAAGTATATCGCTATAAAAACGCGCCTAACTAATATGGACAAAAAGAAGCTAAAATAAGACGAACACCATTTATAATATAAAAATTGTGTCAACAAGCACATGCAACAAAACTAAAGTAAGGGATCAAATGTATGCCACCAACACTCCAACGGTATAAAAAAAATAAAACAAAACAAAACACATCATCACGGCTAATTCTGTTTTCCATTAATTTGAACTTCATTCCCTTGATCTTTAAATATGATCATTCCTTAAATGTGGTAGAGGAAATAATAGGGTAAGGGACTTAGGGTAAAGAAAAGGGTATAGATTAGGGAAAATAATATTGTATAGCCGCTTTCAAAATAGTAGCGGAATATATATACATTCTGTATGTTATATTAATCTACACAAATAGGTAATTACTCATTTAACAAGTGTCTACAGTCTAGGGGTGTGCATTCGATTTATCGATTCGATTTTGACCCTTATCGATAATTACTTATCGATTTGTACATATGCTTATCGTTATCGTTTCAATAAGGTTTCGATTTTTTCGATTTCGATTTCGATAACAAATAATCAATTCGATTTATCGATAAACCGATTCGAGTGCACACCCCTACTCAAGTTATCACACAAGTCCATCATATGTTAGATCACTTCTACTTTAAATCTCACCCATTAAGCTGATACTCGATCCGATTCAATTTATGTAAACTTATTTGACTGGATATTGAATTTAAGAAAAAGGAGAAGACTTTTAATTTGAACTTGTATATAAAATGAGGCACATATATTTTATGTGACTATTATTCATTAACACATAAAGGTAAATTGTTTCCAATATAAAAAGAATTTTTTTTTTTTGCGCGGACTAAAAAGAAAATAGATTTTCATAAATTAAAAGGAGGAAGTACTTTAACCATCCTTTGCCCCACTAAAACCTAGATAATCCCCTTCTTCTTTAATAAATATATATACTTTTGGATGAGGGTTAACTTTATTTTATAGCATTAGTTTAACAAAAGAACTCAAATCCCCAAGCCCTGAGCCGGGACAAATTTAAAATAATAACAATTTCAATCGGTATCTGAGATGAAATAAACCGATCGATGGATTTCCTCGAATGTGATAATTATACAAAATAAAACTTGAGCAATTGGGACCTAAGATGATATAAAAGATAGATTCACTATAACGATAAAGCCAAAGTCCAGATAAAAGAATAAAATATTAAAAAAAGAAAATCTACAGCCACAAATTAAACAAAGCATAACGATCAGTAATTTCAAATTAGATAGAATAGTCACTTGCGAAGATAAAAAGGAAAAGACAACTAGTAGTTGAAATGGAATTCTAACTTGCCAAGCTATAACAAAAAAAAAATAGACGAGTGGACAAATTGACATGTTTCTACAAGTTTCCTTTGGTTATCGTCAAGATGACATAAACATCCTAATCTTTTCGTACCAAACTCCGCCTAAGAAACCTACTTGTTATACTGTTTTGTCATAAAGTCCATGGATTTATAATGTAAATCTTTTAGTACCAAACTATGTCCAATAAACCTAGGTATGCTGCTTATATCGTACATGTATCCTCCAGTGTAAAAGGAGTTAGAACTTACAGCAGATTCAAAATAATATTTACATGTTTAATGGTAGTTAACAATATACAGGATCGGACGCACAAGTTGAAAACTCTGTATGAGACCTTTCACTCTTCCAAAATAATGACAATATCAATGTCAATAATTGATCCCTGCCTACCTCTAATCTTCCTGTATGTGACGTACAAAGTACAATAAAATTATAAACCAATATCTAAAAAAGAAAAGCAAAAAATGTTGACCATCTTCAAAAAAATAAAGATAAAAAATATGTGAAAATATTTTTTTTTTAATTTTTTTTAAAAAAAGAAAGAATTAACTAGAAGAGGGTGGATAATGGCTGGAACTACTCCAAAATGGTGCAGAAAAATTGGAGCTACTGCTGCTACTACTGCTGGTGCCTTGAAGTTGATTAGTTTGTGGCCTGTAATAACTAGATTGCTGACCTGAAAAGAGCAGGGGATATGAAGGGGAAGAAGTAGAAGAAGCTGCAGAGTTACCCAAGGAAGAAGAAGTGTTTGAATGCAGTACAGCCCTAGAAGAAGCAAAAAACATTTGCTCCAACAAACTTGAAGGTTGCTGTTGATCAAAAAAATCAGCAGGATTTTGTAGTAACTGTGAATATTCCCAATAATCTCTTGTCATATCTGAACTTTGGATTGGCTGCTGCTGATGATGAGGAGGTTGGAAAAATGCTGTTGGTTGAGATATTGAAGCCATAGGAAATTGAGAAGCTGAGGTTGAGGAACTAGAAATGGCTAATCTTGTAGTAGGTTGAGAAGCTTGAAGTTGTGGTAATAATCTAGTAACATTTTCTGGGAAGTTTAGTTTGGCTCTATTGCCTCTGAATCTTAAAGCAGCTTCATCATATGCTCTAGCTGCTGCTTCTGCTGTATCAAATGTGCCTAACCAAACTCTAGCTGCTTTATGTGGATCTCTTATTTCTGCTGCCCATTTTCCCCATGGCCTTTGTCTTACTCCTCTGTATCTCCTTCTCCTCTCTCCTCCTGTTTCTTCACTTGTACCACTAGCTGCTGCAGTTGCTACTTCTGCTGTTGTGGTTGTGGTAGTTGTTGTGAACGCTGGAACTGTTGTAATGGTGGAAATGGTTGGTGCCACCATACTTGTAGCTTCTTCTGGCAGAAGATGATTAATCTTACTTCATTAAAATTGAAGATAAACCTAAAGAACAAAACTAGTATACTAGATCTTAGAAACATTCAACTCTGAGATTTAATTAAACAGCTATTGTTATACACTGTTCACATCTTTCAAATACATGCAATAATACCATCGAATAAAAATTAAGAAAACCTCAAAAAAGAATTCGCATAATCATTTTAAAACCTTTTTATTCTATTACACTGAGGGACCGCAAAAGAGAGGAGAAATGGGACAGTAAAAATTCAACCTTAAGTTTATTATGAGGAAAACTCCTAACTAAAATTAGGAGACTATAGACCCCTGTGGTACTCAGTAGCGGAGGCAAAATTTTTATTAAGGAGTGTCAAAACTAAACTTGAGAAGAAGGAAAATGAAAAAGGGATTATGTTCTTATGCACAAAGATCAAAAACTAAAAACAGAGGGAAGAACAACAAAAATAAAAGCACAAAAGAAGTAAAGAATGTTATGGAACTATTACTAACCAGCTTTAACAGAGGAAGATGGTAAACGACCTCTAAATTCTCCAAACCCTCCATAAACCCCATGATGACTTTGTTCCAATATTTGAGTAACACTTTCTTCTTGATCACGGCTTCTCTTTTGTCCAGCTCTAGACCCTGAGCTAGAAGATGAATAAGCTGAAGATGGCGAATTTGCTGAATAAATCCTAGAACCACCACCACCAAACGACGGCGTAACGGAACCACTGATATCGGGTCGGTAATTCTGACCCGATACCACATGGGTCAGCGCCGTCACCATTGCCGACATATCTCTTGTCTGACCATACCCTGTAAACATCGGCATCGCCGAAGAAGTTGGCAGCAAATAGTCAGCTTCCTGTTGTATTTGTTGTTGAATCATTTGTTCGAAAAATTGGTCGCTTTGTCCATAAGGCTGAGCACCGCCTTCTGCGGCGGTGGTTGTAGTGATTTCTGAATCGCTTGTATCTGTAAATCTGACATACTCACTGGATTTTCTTGGGTTCGCCACCTTTAATAAGCACATGTACGACCCACTTCAAACTAGACAAAATAACACAAACCCAGATGTTTGCTTTTCTTCAACACACAACACCGTTTCTGCAGAATCTGAAGCCACCGACTTTGATCTCTGACAAAATCAATTTCGTCGAACACTTTCCGTATCTCAAAAATAAGACCAACCCAAATCGTATCTTTCTGAATTGATGGGCTCCCTTATGGTATTTTACTTGATTTGGAGCACATGCACAAAGTAGAAAACTGACTTTTTTTACAGATAACTGATAAAAATTCCCTTACAAACGGCTATATAATATAAGGAGGAAAATTCAAACTTGAACAGCCGTGAAGAGAATAGTTGAATCTTCGTGCTACTTTCTGCTAATAGATCGTGCAGAAAGTTTGGTGTCAATCTCTATATTGTACAAAGAATAGTTAAATATACTCAGCTTTGTATTTTTATTAAATTTCTTTAAATAGTAAATCAAAAAGAAAGATTTGATGCCTGCCAAAAAAACAACAATACAGCGGCCGACTCAGAGAGATATGTTCCCACCGTTAATTGTACTTTGACTGAAAATGATGAAGTTACATGCATCTGCTTTCGACCTTTCGAACTCCTTAAAGAATGTCGGTTTATACAAGGAGAGAGAAAGAGGAAGACAGTGCTTAAAGAGTTCATCTTCAACTTGAATTCTCCTTTTTTTTTTTTTTTTTTTAAACTCTCTTCTCTTTTCATCTTCAACTTGGTTCAATTTGTTTTTTTCAACCCCAACTTGGTACAATTTTTTTCTTCCAACCGCAACTTGGTTCTTTTTTTTTTTTCAACCACAACTTAGGTTCATTAAATTTTTTACGAATAAACTTCTTACAAACTAGCGGTGTAACTTTTATTCTATCATATTTTTTAATTTATGTGATCATATTATTTTATCTTTAATAAATTTTTTATAATCACATATATATTATAATTATTTAAAATCACAATTGTTAAAAGACATGGCTACAAAAATATAATGATATATTTGAGACCAATACTCCTCCCGGTCACAAATATTTATCCCCTTATGTTAAATAATCTAATTAAATAAGGAGTATGCAAAATTTTAAACAAACAAATAATATGGACCAAAGGTAATACCATCACTAATGACTAGATTTTGAGATTTTTGCATTTTGCTTTGAAGGCTTTTGACTTGGTAATTGGAATAGTAGGCTTTGACTTTCACTTAGGCTTCAAGTTGACTCTTGAAATAGGCCAGTCCTTATGTGTTTAACTAATATTATCAGAAAATTAGGCGAGGTGGACTTTTCTGGGATCATCGTTTAAATTTGTAAGTCCATAAAGTAAATTTAAAAAATAGCTTTCGGCCAAAATTTTGACAAGCGCTCCTGGTTATTGTCATATTACAAATCCTATTGATCACCTTATGAGATATTTTGGTGAACGCCATATTTTGTGTCTAATTCTGATGATCACTATATGAAAAATTGGGGGAAAGTGCACAGTTAGCCAGTAATAAGATATGTATTTACTTAAATCACTGTTTAAATGTCTTTAATTTTTAGCCATTGATTTAATAAACTTATACCCGTCCGGACGAAAATACCCTTCTGCCCATAAAGTTCAGGACAAGTGTCCTTAACTTATAAGCTTGTTACTGTAAGTTCAGGACTAGCTGTCCTTAATTTATGAGCTTGTAAGTCTAAGTTTAGGACTACATGTCCTTAACTTTTGAACTTGTAGCTTTAAGTTCAGGACTACATGTCCTTAACTTTTGAACTTGGAACTCAAAGTTCAGGACTACATGTCCTTAATTTCTGTGGTTTTAACTCTAAGTTAAGGACTACCTGTCCTTAATTTCTGTGCTTGTAACTCTAAGTTCAGTACCAAGTGTACTTAACTTATGAGCTTGTTACTGTAAGTTCAGGACTAGTTGTCCTTAATTTATGAGCTTGTAAATCTAAGTTAAGGACTACCTGTCCTTAGTTTTTGAGCTTGTAACTCTAAGTTCGGGACTACATGTCCTTAACTTTTAAACTTGTAACTCTAAGTTCAGGACTACATGTCCTTATTTTTTGAACTTAAAACTCTAAGTTCAGGACTACCTGTGAATTCATTATAAATATTGTTTATACTTAGAAAAGTTCATTTTCTTTTTCATGAAATATCTTCTGAAAGACATTCATAGTGTTTTTCGAGACACAAACACATGAATTCATGTTCCCTTTTTTTGTACCTAATGAAAGATTATTAGTGTTAATGTGATTATTGAGACGATAACAATTACTTTTTGCATCTTCTGGCATTTATTCCGACAAAGGATGGACATATCTGCAGTGTGTATTTATATTTAATTTTGATATAGGACCTCTGCAATAAGAAGCTGACGGTGAGAAATCCAAAACAAAAATGCAAGATGTAAAACCAAGAAACCAGAGCCAATGTATTCGATGCAAAGAAAGATGAAAAAGAATTACTGCATGTAGGAATTAGCGAGAAGTAACAAGATGAAGTTCTGGAGTGAGAAGTGAGAGTTCTGAACTTTTGATAAACCGAGAGAGAAGCGAGGGTTTTGGAAGAAAAGAAATGGAAGAAAGGGTAAAAATGTCTTTTCATATTAATTTTAATAGAGTAGTGGTTGTTTTTGCTAACCATTAGAATTGCTGGATAAAAAATAAATATCACCTTAAATAATGGCTACCCACACCATTTTTACGAAAAATTATGGCGATTGTCATGTGTGGTGACAAAATCTGATGAATACTATATGAAAAATTCTGACAATTGCCAAGAGCGCTTTCAAAAATGTTGATCAAACGCTATTTAAAAAAAAAAAAAAAAAGTTACTGGGGTGAAATTTAAATGGCGGCAATGAAATATTCGATTTACGCAAATCCTGGAGTACTATTTTGAATTGTTTTTTCCACTATCAAAATGGGTGCCCTATTTGTCGATATTTATTTACTAAAAAAATTCCTTAAAAAAATATTGTAAGAGCTATGTGTATTGGGTGGAAAGATGACATGTCATGATACGTAGGCAGGTCAAAGAATGGTGATTAAGCAAAGAGGCACGAGTTGCAACAGATACGAGCGGAAGCACAAGAAGAGGCACGAGCAAATATTCAAAAGACTCGTTGCTCGTACCTATTTAAGTATAAAAGCTGAGAAGAATAAACCTGACAACACAGGAGAGCCCAGATACAGTATTTAATAAGCATTAAATACTGAAAATGTTAGAGGATCTGTATTAAATTGCAATAATTATGTAATGTAGCATTTAATGCCTTTAATCGTCCATAATTACCTTATTATGACAAAGGCAAAACGTATAACTTAAAAATAGCTATAAAAGGGAGAAGACTGATCATCTGTAGACACACAATATCATCTGAATATACTAGTTTATTTTGTTTTCTGCTATCTATTGGTTATCAAAATCCATTTCTTTTATTCATTTCCGATTATCAGTAACCCGAGTTCTTCTAAAAATAAAGCTTTGACTGAAATCCCATTTTTCGGTTAAACAAATTGGTTCCGTTACCGGGAATCTGATAATCTATTCTTTCTTAACCTTATCTATTTCGGTACATCAACAATCATGTCAAATGTTAACGACAACACCCAGGGAAACCAAGGAAATCAAGGAAATCATCAACTCCAAGGGGATCCACAAGATGTTCACACTCCGATCCCTTCTCCGCAAAGTTCGCCTCGTCGATCTCGAGAAGGAACTCTTGATGGATCTCACTCAAATGCAAATACTCAATTTAACAACGATGAAGCTATCAATGAAGCTTTGCAGAAGTTGATCGCTCAACAGGTCAATAAAGCTCTTGAAGCTTTTGCCAGCCAAATACCTGCTGCACCTTCAACACCAGTTCCAAATACCAACACTTTGGAAAACCCTCGTTCTGGGCTTGTTAATTCAGGTAGTGGTGGAATCCACAGTGAATCACGAGAGGGAGAACCAGGTAACGTAGTCAATTCCGATTTACAAAATTTAGTTCTAACATTGCAGAAACAGCTTAAGGAGCAAAGTGACCGCATAGAGCAAATACCTGGAGTACCGCCCGTAATCAAAGGAATAGATATGGATGAACATTTACAGCAACCTTGGAAGCCAAGCGCTTCTCCTTTACCAATTCCAAAGAAATTCAAAATGCCTGATATTCCAAAGTACGATGGAACAACTGATCCACGAGACCACGTGACTGCATTCACAACTGGCGTAAACGGCAACGACTTGACCAAACAAGAAATTGAATCAGTATTGGTCAAAAAATTCGGAGAAACGCTCACTAAGGGAGCATTAACATGGTATTCTCTTTTACCTGAAAATTCTGTAAATTCTTTTGCTGAGCTTGCAGATTCATTTATCAAAGCACATTCGGGAGCTCAAAAAGTCGAAAAGAGAATGAAGGATATTTTCAAAATCAAACAAGGGGACTGTGAGTTGCTCAGAGAGTTCGTGGATAGGTTCCAGCGTGAAAGAATGACGTTACCACGTGTACCAGATAATTGGGCAGCTATAGCTTTCACCAGTAATTTGAATGAAAAAAGTTCAGAAGCCACGAGGCGACTCAAGGAAAGACTTCGTGAATTCCCAGCAACAACATGGAATGACGTCTACAACCGATATAGCACGAAGTTAAGGATCGAGGAAGATATTATCTTACGATCTCAAAAAGAAGAAAAGGTAAGTTTGAGACGGGCGAAAACAGAAAAAAGATCAGGTAAAAATAGGTACGAACCATATATGGGCCCAGCTGGAAAAGATTCAGGGTCCAAGCATGATAATTCAAGGTACGATCATAGATCTAGAAATAGAGAATCGGGTTCATCATCTAGGTATGGAAATGATCGCAACACACGAGAGTCACGAGATGATGATAGAAACTTGAAGGCGCGGTTTGGTGGTTATAATTTTAATGTAAGAACTTCCGAGCTCGTTGCTGTTTTAAGAAGCATGGGTGATAAGGCGCGATGGCCAAAAGAGATGAGGTCAAACCCAAACAGGTGCAATCCCAAACACTGGTGTGAATTTCATAACGATCATGGTCTCAAAACGGCAGATTATAGGTTATTACAGGGTGAATTTGATCATCTGTTGAAGCAAGGGTATCTCACTGAGTTATTCAGCGAGAAAGGAAAGCAAGCATACATGAAGAATAGGAAGGAACCCCCAAAACCACCCTCCCGAAAAAGGACCATTAATGTTATAAGCGGAGGTGAAAAAATCAATGGTGTGACGTATACAACAGTAAATAAAGTATCCAAAGTCACGATTACCCACGGGAAGCGGGTGCGACATATCTTAGAGGAAGAAAGCATTACATTTGATGATGCAGATGCGGATGGCGTATTAACTCCACATAATGACGCACTGGTAATATCTTTACTTGTACATGACACTAATGTGAAATGAGTTTTTATTGATCCAGGTAGCTCTGTGAATATTATTCTGCTAATAGTTCTACACGAGATGCAAGCTGAAGCCAAATTAGTACCCAAGGTGCATACTTTGTCTGGGTTCGATAATTCTAGCGTCGTGACGAAAGGGGAAGTAATACTTACTACATTCGCAGAAGGAGTTGTCAAAGATACAAAGTTTCAGGTAGTGGAGCTGGAAATGGCTTACAACATAATT